GCTGGGGGTGGGGGGTCGGGGTGCTGCGATCCCCACCTCCGCGTGCCCCCGGGGACCCCCGCCCCTCTGCGCGGAAGTCGTTTTGTGCTGGGGCGGCGAGGCGCGGCGGTGGTGGTGGTGGAGGTTCTGCAGCCCTAAAGCAGCTCAGGGAACCATGGTGCAAAGATGGGCTTCCTCCTGCTTGTCTGTCTCTGCTTGCTTTCTTCTAAAATTGTGGTTTTCCTTAAAGAGGCTCCTCGGCTGAACCCCCCTCCCTTCGGTCATCTGCTGCCCAAGCTCAGGCCACGGTTATGGTTTAATGGAGGAGGGCATGTTGGCTTTTGAGGGTTTGCAGCACCCTTTTTGGTGGATTTACTCAGGAAATACTTGCCCTTTTTTAAAATGATAGGTTGTTGACAAAGGAGATCAAAGGCTGAGGGCGGGGAAGGAGGCCTGTCTTGGGGCTTGTCAGACCCAAAGCATTCTGTGAACCCCAAGTTCATTCCCACCAACTCCACAGAGCAATTGATTCTCCCAGGCCCACCAGCTTTAATTTATGGAAAAGCTGTATTTTATGGAACGGACAACTGTAGATTCAAGGGTTTTTAAAATTTTGTTTTGGGCCGGGGATTTAGCTTAGTGGTTCCGCCGGGCAAGGTCTTCTCAGTTTGATTTTCGGTGGGAGTGGGGGGTGCGGGTGTTAATTTTTGTGACTCTGGGATCAAAGAAAGCCAGGGCTTCGTGCATGCTAGGCAAGGCCTCCACTACTGAGCAGCACCTCTGGCCCCAAATGCTTCTTAAATAGTTAATTTTAGAGCGTTTAGAGTTCCAGGCTTCCAAATATTAGATTAGTTAGTCCCTGGGGTATGCTTGAGAGGTTGTTCTTGTGACAGTCTGCACACTTAGGCTTTTAAAATAGAACGGTTTTTAGCTTATTTTGTTCTACAAATGGATATTAAATTTTATATCTATATTTCTAGGATATAGTTAAGGGCTTGTTGCCTGACAGCTAGTATTTCCGGGTTTCTTAGTCAGGGGAGGGGAGGAGGCATTGTGCTCCAGTTTTCCTTGGCCCATAGTTTCAGATTTCCACTTGGTTTCATCCTTCGACTCCAGGAAACCAAAGAGCAGAGATGCTTCAGGACGCCTTAGCTGCCACTGCCCTAAGCAAAGGCATAAAGAATTTGATGGAGTTTTTTTTCCTGACGTATGCTACATTTCCTTCCCTTCCTAATTTAGGTTCACATAAGGATTAAAAGGACCTCCCTTAGGATGAATATGGACTTGGCTGAGATGGGCAGGGTGAGAAATCTGGTGCCCCTCTGGACTGGGTACAGTTCTCACTGCCCCCTATAAGCACAGTCTTGTCCTAGCAGCCTTCCCCCCCCCCGCTTTTTTTGGCACTCTTTTGTATAGATTCCATTTAAGTACTTAGCCATGACCCTATTTGGGATCATGGACTCTAGGAGACCATCACCTTCCATTATCAAGGTTCCGTTTAGAGGAAATGTCCCTTACCAATATTTCCAGAGAACAGTTTTTCCAATCCCTGCGTTTATATTCCTCGAAGATGTTCTGTCTGTTCAATCCTCCATGGAAATTCCATGGTATCCGTTAAACGTAAATGTGGAGCCTGCATCTTGGGTTAGAGCTCTGGCATCATCATGTTAACGCTCACTTGCATGGCTTCCTGCTCCTCTGGTGGGGTTATTTCTACTTCGTATGGAAGTACAAGTGGGAGGAACTTCTTGTAAGACACTATGAAGGGGTTAGAGTCTCTGAGAATTACCATCTTACACTCTGACGTTTTCTTTGGTCTGCCAGTGGGTTGAATTCTGTCCTTTGAATTTCTGACCCCTCACTGGAAAGAGGCTGTGTGGTTACCTTGGAGGACTGAGTAATGTATTGCATGGCTTGTCCCGAGCAGCCCTAAATGATGACTTCTCCGAGTGCTGCATGGTGAGAATTCAGTGGAACTAACCCAACTGGTGGTATCGCAATGCCCAGGGAAGCTTTGAAAATGATGTCTTGGCATTCTGAAATCCTAGGGAGATAACATTATGAGAATTTTCTCCTGTTCTCATCCTCTACTAAAAATGACAATGCTTGGTTTGCATTTCAGAGACAGTGGTAGCCTGGAGTATTCAGGCTTTAAAAGTTTAAACATCAGGTGCTGGTGAAAGGCTTCACGTGCCCCTGCTCATGATGAGGACAGGATCAGTGATGACTTCCTTTTGGGCTTCCGGAGATCTCTCTGAGAATATTATCTCAGAAGTCTTGTGGCAGATTGAGGTCCTGTAAACTCTGTCACTCACTCGGTCACTGTATCTGCAGCTTCCATGCCCAGCGTTTCATCCAGCCTCATCGTGGAAGAGTCCCGTTGTTAGCCAGGTACTGTGGGACACACCTGGAATTGTTCAAGTTCAGCCTGGGCAACTTACAAACTTGGGAGGACCCTGTCTCAAAACTAAAAAATGAAAAAGAGCCAGCAATGTGGCTCAGTGCAAAGGCCCTGGGTTCAATCTCCAGCACTATAAAAAAAAGAAAAGAAAAGAAACAAGGTTACTTCCGTTATATAGTTCAGCCTACAGTGGTTGCACATCTTTACTGAACATGTACTCTCTTTCTTGAGCAATGTAACAACTATTTTCATTGTATTAGGTATTATAAACAACCTAGAGGTGACTTAAGGTATATGTGAGAATGTGCATAGATTATGTGCAAACACTACACCATTTTGTTTAAGGTACTTGATTATCTGCAAACTTTGGTGCCCAGACTGGGGGAGTGGTGCCCTGGAACCCATCCCTGGATATGCCAAGGAACAGCTGCCCCCGTGCACTTATGTATTAGACTTTAAGATGGATGTACTAGTTGGCAGGTCTGAAGAAATCTCTACCAGTCATCTGTCAGTTTACCATCTGATTTTCTCTGGAAGAAAATGATAGACTTCTTGATACGGAATGGAATTTGGCCTTAGAATTAAAAGAAATGGTAAGTGCAGTTTTTGAGATGTTTGGGTTGAAAGAAAATTAAGGGGAGTAAATCTGGTGACACTGAGCTGCTGTTTATAAATGACTCAGCTTTTATATGATTTAGGATTTGGTGGAAATTCAACCTCAGATACTGACTTTTTCTGGCAACTATTTCATTTTACTCATAATGGTTTCTTCTTATGTAAAACTGTTATTGCTGCACATCCTCCCTCTGAATCTCCTGTTTATGGCTGAACTGAAAGATCCTCTCCCTAGAATTTTCAGTGTTTCCCATTTTCACGACATACTGCACGTCTGCATGGGATTTATTTGTGTGGAAGGGCTGGCCCTGGATGATTAGAATGTGCCCTTGGCGCCGGGGGCACATCTCGGGGGTGAGGCCCTGGGTTAGTTCCCAGCAGTGGAAAAAAAAAGGGGGCGATCTTTGCATCAAAGAAAAGTTTAGAAGGACTCAGACAGAAGCCATGGGCACCGACTTCCTTCTTCTTTGATATCAGTATCTCAATCAAAATAAGACTGATGACTTCTGGAACCAGAGTAGTTTGTAGAGCCAGGCCGGGAGGTGGTTGGAACTCAGGAAGCAGTTTTCAGGTTTCAGAATACCTGCTCTTTCAGGAATGCTGTTTTGTTTTCTTTAAATGCATTTAGTTGAGGGCCTGGCATTTGGCTCAATGGTTCTGCTGCCTGCCTCACAAGTGCAAGGACCCACGTTTGATCCCTGGTACCAAAATAACAACAACAACAACAACAACAATAATAATAATAATAATAATAATAATAATAATAATAATAATAAACGCACTCATTGATTTCACTTAAATATCAAGAGAGGCATAAAACCCTGGGGACCTGCTCATCTCCCATTCGAAACAGGACTGGCACAGGAGGACCACTCAGGGCTGCCTTTCAGAGATGATGACTTTGAAGACCAGGAAGCAAACAAAAAGGAAAGTCTCTCAGATTAAGACTTTTTAAAAAAGAGATCCAATATATGACCCAAAGTATGGAAATTAGAGTGAGCTTTTCGCTGGTTAGTTTCGTGTTGCTGAGGGTGGAACCCAGGGGCTGCTGTTAAATACCTGCTCCACCTCTCAGGTGCCCACCCAACCCCAGTTCCCGAGATAAGATTTGTTCTGAATCATTCTGCCCAGTTGGTTAAAGCGGGAAAGCTATTTTTTCAAGCTCATACCCCGGTCTGTCCGCCACCAGTGATTTAATGCAGCAAATATGCTCAGAGCCCCCAGCTTTGTGATCTGCAAAGTACAACAGTGTAGAAAGCAGAGCATAAGTCTTGAAGCATCCTTCTCACAACTCTGTTTCCTCCAAAGTCTTCCCTTTACTGAGAAGTGAGTCCAGGGCTGTGGTAGGAACCTCTTTCAGGGCTTCAGATACAAACACTTTCTGAGAGAATCAACTTGGCACCTGACCTGAGATTCGCTTCTTTGGCAGGAAAAGTGTCTTCCTGGCTGTTTCAGCAGGACCCGAGTGAAGCGGTACTTGTTACTTACCCCAAGACTCCTCCTGGGTATGTGGCTCTATCCCGTGGCTTCAGCCACCTCTGCGGTGGCCATAGTTGCTCCAAAATGACCCATAATGGGGGCATTGCCAGAGGGTAGATGATAGATTCCCTTGAGCCTTGCATTAGTTAAGAGGATGAGATCAGGTCTCTCTAATCATGAAAATAGTCTCTTAGACTAAACAAAGACAGAACTGTCTCATTGCTGACTACATGCAATTTATTTCAATCAGTCTTGCACATTCTACACTGGTGTTGAAGCCATATTGTAAGACCACCAAATAGAGTAAGTTTTCTGGGCCTTTGCCTACAGATAAAAGGGTTGTGAGCCACAGTGATTGGGATTTTCATCTTGCTAGCTGCCCTGTGTGTCCTTGACTATTGGGCTCCATGGAGGGTGCAAGGCTGTCTTCATTAGGATTCAGCAGGGAATGAAGGTAGTGAACTAGGCGTGTAGGGGATGGGCAGGGATGCTCAAAAGAAGGAAGCTTGGGGTCAGGTCTGACCTTCCCTGTATGTGTGCGTGCGTGCATGTGTGTGTGTGGGTGTGTGTGCAGTTTGCCTTAGCAGCAGCAAAGCTTATCTCAGTACATAGTAATCTCTTGGCATTGTGTGTGAATTATCTCCTCCCAGATTTGGGGCAGCTGACGGCACTGTATTACTCAGCACATGCTCAGGACTTCTTCCATGGGACTTATTCATGGGTTCTCATTGAAAGAGGTTGTCAAAATAAACCTTTTGAGCAATATAAGCACATATTTTGGATACCCTTGTATATAGCATCCCAAAAAGAAATCACCCCAGAAAGGGGATAGAAGGGAACTCCAAGGGCTGAAGGCTGCAGGATCAGCTTCCCCATCCACAACCCTTGGTAACCACACCACCTGTCTGCAGACACATTGTCTGACTCCCTTTTCCAATCCTTGAGAGTTTGAATCCCCCTTACCCCATTTTCTCACTCAAATCCCAGCCATTTACAGCACGTGATACTTCCTGAGCTTTCTAGAACAGAAATTAACCACAGCTACTCAGCCAATGGACCCTGTGGCTCCAGTGGCCATGATGAGCAGTCTTGAGTAGCTATGGGATACAAAGCTTAAGGACAAAATTAACACCAGGGAGAAAAACGTAAGTGTGGCCTGCCTAAAAAATTACACTCAATTTATAACTTTTAGCAGAGGGTATTCTGAATGTCAGCATAGTGATTGTTGCAGAGAACAAATAGCAGAAACTGACTTTCTCTTCTAACACTTCATCGACAACACAGGCAGGGCTGAAAACCAAATTTAACAGTTACAGAATGTGGTCCGCAGAGCCCTGCCGTGATTAAACAGCAGTCTTTTTCACAAAGCTGTTTCCCTTTTGTAGGAACAATGCTATGCCCATCTGTTGTGGTACACACTGCACAGCACAGGAGCTCGCGTGGTAAATGCCATCTTTCACCCCGGGTCAGGAAGCTGGCGCAGAGTCAGGGAACAGGAAAGGGACGGGCGCATTTGCTTTCAGGAGGGAGAGCAGAGGCTGACTGCCATCTTTCTGCTGCTTTCCTTATGCGCTGCCGTCCAGTAGCAGTTGCCCTTCCAGTGTCCTTCATCCTTTGTCCTGTCCTGTCCCCTCCCTTCAAGTCTTAATCTGTAAACCCGAAGTGCAAAGTAATTGATGCCTGCGGGCTAACACCCACTCAGAGCTTCCCCACTGCCACCAAAACAACCGCAGAGGTTGAGGTGGGCTGGCAGTGTAGCTTGGTGGTGGGACACATGCCTGGCATACAGTGTGTGCAGGGCCTGGGCTCGAGCCTCAGCTCAGAAGAAAGAAGGGAAGAAACATCTAGCAGCCTGGAAGGGAGAAGGTACAAGTGAAGGTACATGGGGCCCTGTGCTTTTTCTGCTGATGTTTACCCAGATTTTTCTGATTCAGCACGAGAAGATGAATCTCATTCATTTTTAATACAATTTTATTAAAAGATGAAATACTGGATTTCCCTCTGTAAACTGTTTGGCTTGAACAAAGATTCTGAATTTTTAACAACCACTCATTACAGATCAAATTCATATACTGTTTACATTTTTTTGTTTTGCTTTTGATTTTTGTTTGTCAGTGGTGAGAATGGAACCCAGGGCCTCGCACAGGTTAAGCACTCCTACCACCAAACTGTGCCCCCCCCACAGTTCTTACTCCGTTCTGAAAACCTTTTAAACATCAAGGATAGGAAATTAATGAGAATTTCCTTTGACTAGTTAAAGCTTTGAGTAAAGTTTCTGCTATAGGAGGAAGACAGATTTACGAGGTGAGGAAACCGTGAATCCCATCTGCTGTGGAGCTGGTCTGCATTTGTAATTCAGAACAAAACATTCTTGGAGTGCCTGGAACTTATTTCACATGGGATGCTCCATGCAAAATCTCTGTCTAGAGAGAACTAAGTAGATTTCTTTTCTTGTATATTTTTTCCTAAGCCATTTCCTCTTCACCATGTCCTTTGAATGAATGCATTCACCAAAGTACTGCCTGGTGTATCTCTGTGACTAGAGTGGTCTTCAGCCATTCAGCTAGTGTCTGTCAATGGATGACCAAGGGGACCAAAGTTCCCAGGCACACCAGAGGAAGTAGGAGACACCCAGACCTCCTGCCTGTGTCCCTCCAGACCCAGGGCCCAGCTTTGATTGCTGCAGTATTTATTGTCTGAATGTGCAGGTTTAATGTGTTTGGCATCCAAAGGGTAAGGATCATTACTTCTTAGTTCACTTGAAATCATTGGCCAGGGTATGAAGTTTGTGGAAGAAATACCAAAGGTGATATAAAAGAAAAAATTCATTTAATAATTTGAAAATAGAAACATTTTACTTAAAATTAAGTTCACTTGGCTAGTTTTACAGAGAAAACTTATTGCTTTCTGAATGTGAGTACTTACCAGACAAATCGACAATGTATACAACTGTGGGTTGTCTTCATTTCAATTTGGCAGAGACCAGTTAGTTCCTCCTTGATTTGAAATGCTCCTGGGATGAACCGTGTTCAGGCTCTAAACTGGAGTTGATTGCTGTTTTACAGGCCTGTTTAACAACTCGTGGTTAGTTTTCAGTCTTAAAAGCAGTGTAATTCAATTTAAAATAAAAAAATATTAAACCTTTGGCTTAGGCAGAATGCGTTACCTAGTGGATTTACTGCAGCAGAGCTGGTTGGGTTGGGGCTATCAGTTATTTCTTCTGAGAGCCAGGCATACAGCCAGGGTGGCTGAGGTGTCAGTGTGCCATTGGTCTTTTATGTACAGGGTACCCTGCTGACCAATGAGATGTGTTTGCCGTTTCCTCCACCCCTACTACTCTTCATTAGTCTCGGAATTTATTGGCCCCATGGCATGAATCTAGAAGAACCACCTCACATGATCCAAGCCTATCATTTCTTCAGCCTGGCAGTAATTAGCTGAGCTCACTTGGTACTGAGATCGTAATAATGATATACTCTCACAGTGGAGAAAAACTTTA